ACGAAATATTTATTTTCAACAAAAATAGTGGATTCGTTACTCCAATCAATCACAGTGGGTAGGCTTTTTTTTAAATTATTTTAAAAGAAAAATAATCACCTGCGACAAATTTCACGGGTCAAGCGAATAATGACGAGTATGTAAACACCGATACGAATCCACACAAGCATTCCTTTTACTCGTGCGAAATTAAACCGACGTCGAGTGGAGAACAGGCGAATACCCCGAGTATTGAGAGTGGTGAGAACATCAAACAAGGCGTATGTATACATGCTCGTACTCGTGCCTAGTCGTTCTGTGCTCGGCGAGAATCTAAACGCTGCATAAGGGTCAGCGCACACCAAGAGCAGAGCAGAGCAGAGCATTTTCTGAGAACACTAAAATATTAATTTTATGACTATTGACAGACAGTGCAAAATTATATACACGTCCAAACTTGATGCTCGACCATGCTCGAGCTTGCAGGATGCATGTTCGAGCATGCGCGAGCGCGCTCGCACCGCCGCCACCCGCGCTCAGTATTGCCGCAGCGAAAAAACTGTTTGGACGTGTGTTTAGTTTATACCTATAAGCGCGTCACATAAGTCGGAATCATGGACGAAGAAAAGTTGATAAGTTTGGTGCAGCGTTTTGAGTGTCTGTACAATATATCAAGTCCAATATACAGCGATCGTTAAAAGCCAATGCTTGGGAAAGAATCTCCACGTTTCTTATACCCATACTGTTCTTCTAATTTTCTGACGTCTTATTTCATTAATATGTTCATGTTCCTCTTCCTCTGCCAAAAGGGCAATAATCACCAAGTCTCAATCGATCATATTGAAACGTCTATCAACGTCGGATTTTGGCATCAAAATGGTTATGCACGCCCCCCTATCAACCCAGAGCACTTTAAATGGATCTTACTCACGGAAGCGCGCGGATGCCGCCTGCATGGTCGAGTAGTCAAAATTTTGCTCGTGCATGCGCGAGCATTTTCCGTCGCAACCCAAGACAACATGATGCGGAGGTAGCGCGGCGCATAATACAAACAATACGTGACAAAACACATACCGCGATGTTATGCTCTTATGGCTACGCAAATAACTGTCACTTATAGTGCCATATTTAAGGTTTGTTTTTTCAATTACAACGCATCTTAGCGTCTAGCACTAAATCTAGTATTGAGTTACAACGATTCACCGTGTGGCAGTTGTTTTAAAGATCCTGTGGCATTAAAGCAGCTACATTTAGCTGCTAAATCATTGACAGCTAGTGGCACAACGCCTGGTACTGGACAGAGGTACTTCAACTTTAAAAAGAAGAGCTTACTATAAAAACTATTTATAGGTATATAATAATATAGTACATAAAGGGCTTTTAAATTTAACGTAGTTTTACTAGTACTTTTAAATTATAATTTCAAGTGTGAAAAAAACTATCTGTTAGGTAATTACATTAGATATTATGTGTGACAGGTGTGACATTCAACAAAGGGATATGCAATTTTAGGTGTGACCATAGAATACTATAATACAAAATAAAATGGCTGTCAACCTTATTTTGTACAAGAGTCGGCGTCGCCGCGAGCACACATACAAGCAATTAAGTTGTATTATCACTACTACAAACCCAATTCGCTGTGTTGACAAATTGAGTAAATTTAAACATTTTAGACTTTTGATTAATGTTCAAGGTCATCATTAAAAAATCGTTTAAATTTTAATACATATTTATTTGTAAATAGTGTGCAATTTGGCATTTTCTAAATGATTTGCACGCGAAATTTGGAAACGATTGTAACGTAAAAACACATCTCGGGTTGACATTTATACGTGTGAATGACGTGTTAGTGGCATTTTAGTGGCTACACGGGCTCCGCCCACTCCCCCGTTCTATTATGTATGTATTATAGTATTCTATGGGTGTGACATATAACAAAAGGATATGCAATCGTCTCAGTTTTAAGTTAATCTATTCTGTTGATTTTATTCGATAGACAAATTTGGCGATAACAATGATTGAAGCAAGTAAGAACGAAAACGTAGTACATTAACGGCTTTACTTATAATCTTTGATTACCACTTGCTTAAAGTAATTATGAATTATCTCTATATCTTTCTACTTCTATTTTCTTTTAGTTTAGTTGTAGGCTCTGTGGCGCTGTGCCTTAGCAATGATTTGCTACACTGGGGACCGACGACTTTGTATGGCCTAGAAATAATTGTTCCGGGTCCAGACGTTTGTCATTGTGCAATTTATGTTTGTAAACTGCCTCCTTGATACAGGAGAAAATCCTAGTGTGGAGGAAACGTTTTAAAAAACAAGAGAAAGTAATAAGAAAGAGAGAGAGAGAGAAACTTTGAGATTTTTTTAAATTTACGTCAATTTTTAAGAGTAAGACGGTATAATAATAAGATATTTTTTAACTAAAGGTACTAATTTATAATTTCACTTTTTCAGGTTGGTGCTGCTGCTGTTTGTGTTGCAAATGTTTGAAACCACATCGTATGATAGACGACGCTAAAAAGTACTTTCTGCTAAATCCCCCTGGACTTCTAACGATGCCTAACGTCGGCGTTATATGTTACGAGGCAACGGAACGTGAGAAGGAATGTTATGAAAAACTAGGACATACGATAAGAACTATTTAGTTAGGATTTATAACCAAATATATGTTTGAGATTTTGCATCTAATTCAATCTCTTACCTTTACAAGCGGTTAAACTTGAATGAATATATTCCATAAATAAGACTTAAATTCAACAGAAGTAAAGAAATATTGATACATTTACCCTTTTTTTAAATGCTTTTTTACTATGTGGTAGAGCCATGCTACAGCTAGGGTTGCCAGGTCTTAAAACCGAAAAGCCGGATAGACCAGCGAGCTTAGCCGGACATTTTGACAAAAAGGCCGGACAGCCTTATTTTTTGTCTTAGTAAAAGACATTTAAAAAAAAGTAAAACAATGCTTTTTATCATTTACCGTAAACTCTTCAAGAGTTCTAACGAAATAACAACAATTGAATAAATCAATCTTCTTTATTATTAATTATTCTATATTCATTACAAAATTAATTTCAATAATTGCAATAATATATACGAAAGTATATGAAAAATGTATAGAAATGGTCAAATTTAAAAAACCTAACAAAAGCCAGACACCGTCTAATTTGGCCGGACGCGCAACTAAAAAGCCGAACTGTGTCCGGCTTTATCCGGACGTGTGGTAACGCTAGCTGCAACTATATTTATTAGTAGTATTGTTGTAGCACGAATGAGTCGGCTCGACCGGGGAAGGACCACGCTCTCACAGAATACCAGCGTAAAAAGGCAGCATAACGTTACTGTGTTTCGTATGGTGAGTGTAGAGAACTGGAGGCCCTTTTTACTCGAAAGAATTTATTCCCTCATAGTTCTTACGGGTGACAACGCATCTGCATTTCGATTCGTAATCGAGGATAGATGTAGATGTCTATCGGCCACGGTAACCACTTACCATCAGGTGGACTGTGTGCTCGTTTGTGTGTCGTTCTATTTTAAATAATATCATCATTCATCACTGAAGTGTTTTGTCATCTCATTAAACAAGTTTTAACTGCATCAGCATTGACCGAATGTCCCAATTTAGTTTATGACTTAAGTGTCTTTTTTCACTGAAGACTCATCTGCTAACCACATTGCATGGTATTCTCGAAAATTTTTGTTACCTACTTATATTATTTAATAGAACGTTATTACATTATGCGATTTTTTACGCCCTGCCCAAAACAAAAGTGTTGTGACAGTGTATAGATACTCATTAAATTTATTTGGCTTATTGTTTGCTATTGCGCTATGGGATAGCTTTTAAAGTAATATAAAATAACAGTATTTCACGTGTACCTTTTATTTATACATTCTTATATGTTTTATTTATTTTATTTTCAAGGGAAACATACATAATTTTAGTCTATTTCATAACACATATTAATCTTACATTTAACAATAAAGTTTCCACAGTTAAGTAACGCATTGACAACAAGCGAACACCATGACATACTTAGGTGTGCAAAAACTAACTTTTATTTATACTTTATTAATTATTTATTAATAGCGACCCGCCCCGGTTTCGCCTATTAATGTGGCGTCATTTAGATTTTTAATGATCATCAATGACCACTAATTGTATCAATTTTTATATTTCACAAAAAATTACTCTAATTTTTACAGATCAAATATAGCTAAGATCACTCCTGGCATTGCTGTTTGTGAAGTTTCATCTCTATGAGTTCAGCCATTTCGAAAATGACCCCCGACAGAAAAGGACTTTCTTTACCAATGGTTATTTGTGACTCACTTGCACGCAAATAAAAAGCAGTTATTTCGATATTAGGGATATACACTTCAATTTTAATTATATGTACATATATGTTCGACTATACGATTCTTACCGTAGAATACTATAATATACACAATGGAACGGGGTAGTGGGCGGAGCCCGTGTAGCCACTAAAATGCCACTAACAAGTCAATTCACACGCATAAATGTCAACACGAGATGTGTTTTGACGTTACAACCGTTTCCAAATTTCGTATGCAAATTATTTAGAAAATGCCAAATTGCACGCTATTTACAAATAAATACGTATTAAAATCTGTTTGTCAACACAGCAAATCGAGTTGCTAGTAATGATAATACTATGTAATTGCTTGTATGTGTACTCCCGGCGACGCCTATCCTCGTACAAAATAAGGTTGACAGCCATTCTACTGTGTATTATAGTATTCTAAGGTTATTCGTGACTCACCTTTACGCAAATAAAAAGCATTTATTTCGATATTACAGATATACACTTCAATTTTAATTATATGTACATATATGGATAGATATAGCGATAAATATTGCATTATGTTCCACTATATGATTCAAACCATACTACCCCTTTTCCAAATATTTACCTTTGTACCAAAAAACTAACGTAAGTATTTTGAATATCTTTCAAAGTGATAAGGACAAATAATATTTTAGAATTGCTTACCTCTAAAATTTGGTTTGCTTTTGGAAAGTCGTTGTGATAAAGAGCCAAAGCGACCAAGCAATTCGGCTTCGCCAGCATTACAGAGATGAAGTCAATACTATTTTCTTTAGCAACATCAACTGAAAAGAAAATAATGTATACAATTATTGCAAGAATTTAACTATTAAAAAATTAATGTTATAAGTTAATGATCTCTTAGTCTACGCAAACACTACATATTTAAATAATGTGAATATGAATATATGTCTGAAATAAAGTTTATTATTATTAATAATATTTTTTACGGATTGTAACGATTAAATCGAATACTAGTTTTATTTAAATGTTATACGATATAACCTTTAATAGCTAATATTAAAAGGAAAGATATTATATAACAATAGCTATTTATTTACATAATTTTTAAAACTTTTATATTATACTACCTGTACCGTAAAAACTTGCACAGCAATAAAAAAATCATATGTGGTGGAGCAACGCCACAGCTATATTATGATTGTAGCACGAATGGGTCGTATCGATCGAGGTGGTGCTATGCTCTCACAGAATACCACCGTAAAATATCAGCTTAATACTGCTGTGTTTCGTATGGTGAGCGCAGAGATCTGGAGACCCTTTTTTATTAGAAACGAGGCGTTGCATCTTAGTCCTCATGGGTGACAAAGCATCTACGTTCTGATTCTTAATCCTAGATAAATGTAGATGTCTATGGGCTACAGCATCCACTTACCATCAGGTGGACTATGTGCTTGTCATCTTTATTCTATAAAAATGTGTCTGGACACGCAAGGCTGTGGGTTCTCAAAAACGTTGTGTCAAAGATTGAAAGCAATCAGTAGTGCTAAGAGCTCGTTGGCAATTGGTGAAGAACTTTCTAATTTAAGATTTTGAGTAAACGAATATTTACGTTTTTATTTATAAAGATTTTGACATCGTGGCTATTTTTAAAAGTTAAGAGATAGCCGAAATTGGTTATTTCCATAGGAAATATTTCAATATCGTAATCTTAGTATTAATATGCGGATGCTCTTCCCATTTTATAGCTGTTACGACAAAACATCTACACAATAATTCTAGAGAAGGGGGAGCATCGAATATAGCCCTAAAACTCTACATTTTGGTATAACTTACCAGTCTCCACGGCTGAAATGGTTGACGCAAGCATGACTTGATCCAATTCTGGCTTGGGATTAGTGTGCCTCCTCTTCACTTTAGGCTTCTTTCTTGTTGTCTTTACTTCAATTTCACGTTCTTCGTCGTCGCTACTTTCGTCGACCTCCACGTAGTCCAGACATAGTTTTAACTGCAACGGACTTATGTCTGGCGAGAGTGTACACACCAATTGTAACTTCCAAATAGAATGATTGACGACTTGCATCATCTTCTTAAATCTCGCCGCTATATTTGGATCAACGTTGATCTTATTTTCTTTTCTTGCCGCCAAAGTTTCCAGGCAGATTTTCAATGTGTTCAAAATTATTTGCGTCGTAAAAGAGTTGCACATAAACCCTGTACTTGTACTACTAAACGGCTTCGATTGCTTACTTTGCTTTTTCGAATAAAAATATGAGCATTCAGAATGAGTTCCACACGGATAATCTTGGTTGTGTTCATAGCAGGAGAAATATTCGAAGCGCAGAAATAAACAGGAAAAGATCGTTTCTATTACTTCAATGCAATTTTGCAAAGGTTGTATTGACAAAACTAAACGTTTAATGTCATCTAAAGAACTATTCATGTCTTGGGTGTTGTCTATCCCTTTAGAGGAACTAAGTATTGTGTCTATTACTTTTGTGATGGCGCAATAGCTATTGTACGTCGATGTGTCCCAATTAGTAGTGAGCTGCTTTTGTGTTTTACAAAAACTTTTATCACTTAATGTCATCAACTCTGTTATGAAGTCATTGTTTGTATTTAAGAGTCTTGAAACTTTATATCTGTCAATTTTAGACAATCTACACACTTGTGATATCACAGTCAGAGCGCTTTGTGTTAGTACTTGACTTAAAATCGAAGTTGTCATGATTTTACAATTGTTTTCCAAACAAAACTTAATAACAGTTAATTCTCTTTTGATTTCAGTTATATAGAATTGCAATTGATTGTCCGATGTCGTGTATGCTTCAAGAATGGAGAATATATTTGTTAACTGGTGCACTAAGGAAGGTAAATCGTACGTCTCTGGGCAATTAGTGAGATCAATCAGCACCATTATTAGAATTTGTTTCGTGAAATTGTTTATTTTGAATGTAACATTTTTCATGTCATGTAACTGTTGCTTATATATTTGCGCCGCTTTTAACAACCAATGCGTTTTCTCTTGATAGCACAATTCAAGCATATATTCAGGTGTTAATTTAAATTCTTTCTGGGGCTCATTTTTATGCATGAAATCTGAAATGATGTTGAGCATTTCTGGTCGGCCTTGCGGTATGAGACTAAGTAAAATTTGTTTTCTATACTGTCTTAATGGTTCTTCTGACAGCGGTCTTAGTATTTCGTTTACGAATTCCGGCAAAAATTTATAATCCCATCTCACTAAAGACAGCAATGTAATCAACCTGTCTGTATTATTGTAAATGGTTAATTCATATTTCAAAGCCTCTAAATATAATCTTTGAATGTTTTCCACGTTTGTTTTATCTTCGCATTCTTGTTCCTGTATATAACTCAGTATTTCTGACGTGGTCACAGGATTGATTTTTAAGTTCCTTTTAAAGAATTCAAGTGTTTCGTGAGATAAACCTTTACAGGATTTAGATTCCTCTGTATCATAATATATTTGCATTATTTCCTGTAAAATAGATGTAAAAATAATAAAATAATGCTTGCGCGAGTTTGCTTACACATATAAACAACAATAATTTAGTTTATAAGCATGTATACACATTATGTTTATACATACATCAACGGAATCTAGGGATACCTTAATCGTAAATTATTTACGAATTTAAAATCTTTCTTCGACTGTCTCGTTGGTCTAGTGGTTGTAGTGGTGCGACTACTGATCATAAGGTCCTGGGTTCGAATCCCGGCTCGGGCCAAAAAATTAATTATTGAGTTTTTCCGTCAAGAAATTCTCAATAGCTGCCCGGAGTCAGGAAATTGGCGGTATATCACCCCCGTGCTTCGGAGGGCACGTAAAACCGTTGGTCCTGCGCCTGATCTCTCTCCGGTCGTGTCGGTTTACCGTCCCATCGGAATATGAGAGTGAGGGAATAGAGAGTGCAACTGTGCTTGCGCATACACTTGGGCACTATAATCCTGTCCTGCGTTGATGGCTAGTCTCCGTTAAGGCTGGCCGCCGTGACCGAAATTCGGTCTGGAGGACATTATTATTAGTTTCCATTGCAAGTTTATATACAGATTGAAAACTCTTTTATTATATTATCAAAATTTAAAAATGTTCATAAATGATTAGTAATTCGTTATGTCAAGGAAAATTTAAATTGTTCGTCTGATATTTATTAATGAAAAAGGATTACATTGTTTTTCTTTTTTAATTTAACGTGCCGTGTGATCTTTAAGAGTCATGTCACGTCGTCATTTGAGTCGATATGAAATGTTACGAGCCGTGGGCATGTTAGAAAATGGTGCTATTCAATGCGTCGTTGCTGAGGCCCTACATACCAGCCGAAACGTGATATCAAGGTTGTGGTCACGTTATTGCAGTACTGGGGATGTGCCTGAATGACACATGGGTAGATATCGTGTTACACACGTGAACGTTTTTCACGACCAATGGGATATTTAAGGGATTAAACACGTAGATTTTGGTTTGAGTCAAACCAATTTGATCGTTTACGCTGTTGGTATGGCAGGTTTGATCAAACGTTACGTGTTTGAAGCTCGTTTGATGGAAATTTATATTTTAGTTTTGTTTGAAGCGCCATTTGATCGTGTATGTTCTGTGTGATTTCCAAAATGGCACACGAAGTTGAAATAGACATTGTAAACGTCTCAACGTCGTCACGACACGATTTGTCGTCGGAAGTGGCTATATCCAACGACTATATCAAACGATATCTTAATTTGTACCATTCTTTGAATCAAATTATTTTTCTTTTTTTCTTATTATTTAAGCAAGGCAATAATACAATAAACGCGAGAAAATCTTTATTCATAGTCGACGGCATTTTTTGAAATCACAATAGGACTTTCTTGTTTGAACTTTGAAGCCACACTGCGCGCTTCTGTTTGATGCAAATTCAAAGTGACATCAAACGGTTTGGTCAAACACGTGAGGTTTGAATGAAACCGTTTGACCTTTTCGCGGCCCCTTTATAGATTCATAGGACTTAGGGCCCTGTCCGAACATAATTTGAATTGATGTGACCCGCCGCGGTTGCGCCGTTAGCCTTTTTATATGTAATTACTGCGATCTCGAAGTGATCGGAATACACTAGCCAAAACCAGAACTTTCTCAAACCAATGCGGAAATTCCGAAACTGGTTGCGCGGAAAACCATTCGTATTTATTTTATATTTGACGGTAGGTGCGAAGTCGATTATCCCTTTCAAAAACGACTACCTCTGTGAGGGAAATTCACACTAAAAAAAATATACCCCCCCCTTCCAAAAGTTCCAGAAGTCGCAGTTATAGTGCTCGACCACATAGAAGAAACATCCCGGTGAGTCAATATCCAATATTACTGCCTGCTTGATATAATTGTTTTAACCCGCTCCAATTTTGTGTTTTCCTAATGAAGCAGGATTCCTGTCATCGATTTGGCAAATAATAGTTCATTTTAGGGAAGAGCGAGTGCATTGTACTGCGCGCTATAGTCGTCGTTATACAAGCGTAGAAGCATTTTGTAGATACAGTCCACTTAGATTAATATCTCGCGTAATAGGTTTAAGGTTCGACCGGGGGAACTAGACTGCGGCGACCTTAGACACGTGGCTCCACATTTTATGGTCACTTCGGCAGGATTTGCACTGGTGTTTAGTGGTCATCCAACCATTTTCTGGTCGAATAATTAGTGTTCGTAAATAGTGTAAATAGTGTTCGTTTAAATTTAAATTTTGATTAGGCACTCGCAAACAGAATTGTTTATTTCATAGCGCTCGTATTTGGTTAAATTTAAAGCTTTAAAATTGAAACAGTGTGATAGCAACCGTTTGGTACGCTTACACGACAATCTTAATAAAAATATTGAGTTTTAGCGAGCAACGCGTCGCCTCGACTGTAACAGGTGTTCGATTTAATTACGTAATACGGCATACCGAGTGTCCATCGTCCATCGTTTATGTGTGTGAGATTAATTGTGATTAATATAACTTCACTATAATAATTTAAAATGGCAGTTAGTGGAAATGAATTTAAAATTAAAACGCTTTATGCCAAGAGGGACGTACTTTTTTCACGTATACAAAGCATTAGCGATCACGTAAAGAACATTAATGTAGAAGCGGTGCGGGAAACTTTTCTGAATGAAATTGAAACGGTGGATTCTTTGCGGACGGATTACGAAAGAATATTAGACCAAATTAATCATTTGGAATTACAAATCGACCCGAAATACATAGTGAACTACCAAACGCTGCTGGCATTCGAAGATATGTTGTGTCGCGTGAAAAGAACGGCAAAACTCCTACAATCTCAAAGCGAAGCAAAGCCGGAATTACAGGTACGTCCTCGTGACTCAATTAGGTTGCCGCCAATAGATATTCCGGTATTCAATGGTGATATTAAGACGTGGCCCTTCTTCTTCAGTAGTTTTCAAAACAATATACACAATAACCCATCGTTATCGGACGCTGAAAAATTATATTACTTAATTAGTAATGTGGCCGTATAAGGAAAAGGGGAGATCTCCCGCCGGGCAAGGTGTTCTGCCCGGGGAGCGGCCAACACTCCATGTGATAGTTTGGAGATATTCTATACGTGCTGTTTATGATTCGGAATGTTAATTACGTGATTTAAGCTTCGGTTTATTTCGCTTGTGGCGCGACGACAGCGCCGCTACATCACCCCCCTGCTCAGACCGGAGGTCGATAGTGCAGTCTTGTTGTCGACGAATGTGCAAGTGCCAGGAGATTGCCTTGTAGTCTGCGGTGAGTCGAGAAGAAGGCAAGTAATCTGCGAGAGTGCCGTGAAGCAGAGGCGAGCAGTAAGGCTCAGAGCCGTGCCGAACACTGTATGGCGCAGAGAGTAGCTTGAAGGAACAGGAAGCATTATTATTCCAGTGCTGCGATGAACCTTGTGAAGCTAGATGGCTTGCAGGATATGAAGACTGCAGTTTATATCTGCTCGGGAGCGAATGGGTGGGGTATTCTATGACGATGATGAAGCTTGAAGTTTCCGAAGGTTGTTTGGTTGCATGTTCAGATCACGTCGGGGTCACCACTATGGCCGTGGAAGGAAAAGGGGAGATCTCCCGCCGGGCAAGGTGTTCTGCCCGGGGAGCGGCCAACACTCCGTGTGATAATTCGGAGATGTTCTATATATACTCTTTATGATTCGGAATGTTGATAGCGCGATTTAGGCTTCGGTGTGTTTTCGCTTGTGGCGGCGACGACAGCGCCGCTACATCACCCCTCTGCTCAGACCGGAGGTCGTTAGTGCAGCCTTGTTGCCGACGAATGTGCAAGTGCCAGTGGATTGCCTTGTAGTCTGCGGTGAGTCGAGAAGAAGGCAAGTAATCTGCGAGAGTGCCGTGAAGCAGAGGCGAGCAGTAAGGCTCAGAGCCGTGCCGAACACTGTATGGCGCAGAGAGTAGCTTGAAGGAACAGGAAGCATTATTATTCCAATGCTGCGATGAACCTTGTGAAGCTAGATGGCTTGCAGGATATGAAGACTGCAGACGATATCTGCTCGGGAGCGAATGGGTGGGGTATTCAATGACGATGATGAAGTTTGAAGTTTCCGAAAGTTGTTGGTTGCGTGTTCAGATCACGTCGGGGTCACCACTGTGGCCGTATAAGGAAAAGGGGAGATCTCCCGCCGGGCAAGGTGTTCTGCCCGGGGAGCGGCCAACACTCCGAGTGATAGTTCGGAGATGTTCTATATATACTGTTTCTGATTCGGAATGTTGATAGCGTGATTTAAGCTTCGGTTTATTTCGCTTGTGGCGCGACGACAGCGCCGCTACAGTAAACTTAGTGGCAGGGCACAGTCGATCTGCTCGGGTTTTACACCTACAGCAAACAATTACTTATTAATATTCGAAACGCTTAAAACTAAATATGAAGATAGGAGAATGTTAGCTTCCGAATATTTGAACCAGATATTCGATCTTAAACCTATATCATTTACGAACATCAACGGCTTAGAGCAGTTTCTAGATAAATTTGTGGCATCGGTGGCTGCACTTAAGAATTTGAAATTTAATGACCTTATGGACGTGGTGTCTCTCCATATTGCACTAAAGAAATTAGACCCCGACACCGTGCGTGCGTTTGAAATGGAGCATCGTAGCTCGGAGATGCCTTCCTTTCACTCATTAGCATCGTTCGTGCGAGATCAAATAAAGGTGATGCAGCGCTCTCCGAACGTTAAACAGGAGATTAAAAGGTGCGTCGACCGTAGACAGACTCAACCATCTAAAATAGCAGGGTCGTTAACTTACATAACCGCGACGTCAACATCACTTCAGCATACTTGTATCGTATGTAAAGATAAACACGTAATTTATATAATTGTGCGACTTTTCGTAAATATTCACCAAGCGAACGTTATAAATTAGTAAAGACAAACAACCTATATTTGAACTGCTTAAGCGATAAGCATTTAGTTGCAAAATGCAATTCGAGTTCCGTATGTAGCAAGTGCGCCAGGAAACATCAC